TTGGGAGCATTATAGGGTTTGGGGGCCCTATAGGGGTTGGGGTCCCCTATAGTCTCTGGAGTGCCCTAAAGGGTTTGGGGGCCCTATAGAATTTGGGAGCCTCTACGGTTTGGGGGCCTATAAGGTTTGGGGTGTCCTATAGGGTTTGGGCGCCCTATAGGGTTTGGGGCAGCCTATATGGTTTGGGGTCCCCTATAGGATTTTTACGGTGCTCTATAGGATTTTTGTGGTTTCCTACAGGATTCGGGGTCCCCGATAGGATCTTGGGATCCCCTGTAGGATTTTGGGGTCCCCTATAGGATTTGGGGTCCCCTATAGGATCCTACGAGGATTTGGGGTGTGAAATAGGATTTTGGGACCCTGTATGGAACTTTTGAGTCCTTCCCCTTACACGATTTTGGGGTCTGCTATGGGACACCATGGGGTTTGAGTGTCCCCTATGGGATTTCGGGGTCCCCTACCAAACCCTTTGGGGTTTTTGGGCTCTTCCCTATAGAACTCGGGGTCCGCGATGGAATTTTGGGGTCCCCTATAGGATTTAGGGTCCCTGATAGGACTTGGGGTACCCTATAGGATATGAGGTTCCCTGTAGGATCTTGGGGTCTCCTGTAAAATTTTGGGGTCCTCTATAGGATATGATCTCCCCTGTAGGATTTTGGGGTTCCCTGTATGATTTTTGGAGTCCCCTGTAGGATTTTGGGGTCCCCTATAGGATTTGGGGCCCTCTGTAGGATTTTGGGTGCCCTATAGGATTTCAGGCTCCCCTATGGGATTTTGGGCTCCCCTACCAAACCCTTTGGGGTTTTTGGGCTCTTCCCTATAGAACTCGGGGTCCGCGATGGGATTTTGGGGTCCCCACAGCCTTATAGGATTTCGGGGTGCCCCCAGCCGCCCCCCCCTACCGAAGTCGGCCAGCTTCAGCTCCCCTCGCCGACTCAGGAGGAGGTTTTGGGGTTTCAGGTCCCGGTGCAGCACTTTGTGGCGGTGACAAAAGGCCAAACCCCGCAGCAGCTGGAACAGGAACAGCTGCCCCCCCCCGACCCCCGGCCCCGGGGCACGCGCCTTGCACGCCTTGCACGCCCCTGGCACACGCGTCGCCCCACAGCCCCCCGTGACCCCACGACCCCACACAGCCCACAGAGAAACCACACTTGCAATCCCGACAGCTCCCATCCTTGCACGCCCCTTGCACGCCCACAAGCCCCTCGCTCCCATCCTCAGACCCCCTGCACAGCCCTGCACACCCAACACCTCACATAACCCTTGCACACCCACCCACCCTCTTTGTCCTCTCCCCACACCCCTTGCATGTCCATTGCACGTCCCTTGCACGCCCAACCCCTTGCACACCCCTCACAAACCACACAAACCCCTTTGATCCCACCCCACACCCCTTGCACACCCCTTGCACGCCCACTACCCCCCCACTCCCTTCTCCAGACCCCCTGCACACCTCACCCCCCCCTTGCACACCCAACACCTCACACAACCCTTGCACACCCACCCGCCCACCCTGTTTGTCCCCTCCCCAGGCCATTGCACGCCCCTTGCACACC